CATAAGAAAAAAGATCAGTATGAGAAGAATTTTAAAAAAAAAAATAGATATGTTTAACAAGCTCGAAATAAATATTCCATTTTCTGAGCACTTGAGCAAATGTCTATTTATGCCAAGTTCATGAAAGACATCATATCAAAGAAGCGCACCACTAATATTGAGCTGATAATTCTTACTGAAACATGTAGTCGGATTCTTCAATGTATGAAAATTTCAGTGAAGAAGAAAGACAGAGGTTATGTTACTATTCCTTGCACTATAGGGGATAGGAAATTTAAGAAAGCTTTGATTGACTTGGAAGCTAGTGTTAGTTTGATGGCTCTATCCATTTACAAAAAATGGGTATTCGTACAGTTCAAGATACAAGAGTAACACTCCAGTTTGTGGATCACTCAGTTAAAAGACGATATGGAGTGGTAAAAGATGTTCTGGTGAAGATAGACAAATTTGTTTTTCCTGTTGATTTTGTTGTTCTTGAAATGCCTGAAGATGAAGAGATCCCTCTCATTTTATACAAATCATTCTTAAAAACTGAAAGGTGTGTGATAGACATAGAGGAAGAAACAATAACCCTCAAAGTCTATGATGAAGAATTAAAAACTGATGTTCGGAACATGATGAAATATAAAGATGATGTTGACATTAGTCATACGGTGGATGTTATCGACTAAGTGACTCTTCAAGGTATTTCAATCAAAACTCCCCAATTACCTTTGGAACGTGTTTTAAATCTATCAATTTTTTAAAATAATAAAGAAAAAGAATCAGAAGTACTAACTATGTTCGAAACAATTTTTGAAACGTATTTTAAATCAAATTAATTGACCATAAACTTTTCATATATATTTATTATATTTCATAATAAGAAACACTTATTAATTATAAATTATCTCAAAAAAAATTTCTTAATTATTATTATAATATATTAATTACATGCATTAACTATATATATATATATATATATATATATATATATATATAATATATATATTATATATATATATATATATATATATATATATATATATATATATATATATATATATATATATATATATATATATATATATATATATATATATATATATATATATATATATATATATATATATATATATATATATATATATATATATATATATATATATATATATATATATATATATATATATATATATATATATATATATATATATATATATATATATATATATATATATATATATATATATATATATATATATATATATATATATATATATATATATATATATATATATATATATATATATATATATATATATATATATATATATATATATATATATATATATATATATATATATATATATATATATATATATATATATAATCCAAATTATAAAACTCTATTATATTTATTATTTACTTTATAAAATATACAAAAATAAGAAATAATTTCTAATTTCTTATATGAAATTCTTGATATTAGTATTTAAGAATTTAATATTGACGAATAAATTTAAAGATAGACTCTACTACGATTTTGTGAAAAAAATTATATTATCTTAAAATATTTAATTCATATATGTATTAATATAAATAAAAAATATACTTCACACCATTTAAAAAAAATATTTGACACTTAATATTATATTTCTAAAAAATATATTTATGAATGATTGTAAAATATTGATAATATAAAAAATAACTTTAATATTTTTGATATATTTTAATTTATTGTTACAATATTGAAAATTAAATTTACACCTAATAGTATAAAATTAATTTTCGTAAGAACAATAAATAACATAAAACAATTAAATTTGTTGACCGTTTTTTTTTAAATGTGACAAAAGATTACAAATGCTTAAAAATGTTATAAATGATATTATTGAAAGATTAATAAATCTATTAAATTTATTGAATTTTTTTAAATGTATAGAAACGATTACGGGTATTATTTATAATTAGAAAAGTAATTATACATTTTAAAATTGTATTCTTTAATCAAAATCTTTTTATTTATTATTATTATTTTTTATGTTTTAATATAAATTTAAGATGATTTATTTTTATTTCAAATTTAATAAATAACAAGAAATATTACTTTAATTTTTAATTTTAATTATATATAAATAACAAATATTTTTAAAGAATTTATATTATTAGTAACATTATTGTCATTATAAATGTCATATGAAGTTATATTTCATATGAATACTTATTATCTATATTTTAGTACAAAATTGTAAATTTACAATATTAAGTATAATTTTAATTTAAATTGTATTTTTACTAAGTTGTTCAATTTGAAAAAATTACCTCTAACAATGACATTTTATAACAAGATTTTATAATAAACTTTAATAAAATTTTCAATTTTAAAACATTCTAATTATTGCACACACTAGTTCGTAATCTATTTCAAGAATAAAATCACGTTGAATAATCACATATATCCTACACATTTATTATATATATATAAAATAATTTAAATATAATATTATCAACTAATATTATATAATTATAGATATGTTATATATTACAACATTGTAAAGGCTCTAAAAAAAATAGTCGAAATCACTTATAATAAGCAAAAATCTGGATAAAAAAAAAGGGTCCGGCAAGCTTTGTTGTAGGTGTGGTTCTAAAATCTTGTTCCACCCTATAAAATTATAAGTGTGAGGCGGAACATATTCGCATGTATTATATCTTTTAAGTTTAAAATTTTCATGTTAATGTTTGTGCCCACAAAAGACGGAACGGAGCATGTATATTAGAGTATGTAAATCTAAAATCTTGACTAGCCTATAAAATAAGTGAGGATAAAACGGGCATGTCCGACAAGCCGGATTCGTTTTGTCACCTCTATTTTTTTGCATAATAGTAATTACAAAATTATATCAAATATTACTACTATTCATTTGATTTGATAAATTGAATTATACTTTAATACAACCAGGTTACAATATTTAATATGTTCAATTATATTACACATTAATATTAATTTAATCGATTTTATATATACGTGTGAACTGGACACACTATATACTAATATAATTTTCAACATAATTTTTAATATATATCTTAACAACTACTATAACATGATAAATTAAATTAATATTTATATAATAATCATCATTAAAACAATTTTCTCTTAATTTGTATATATTATTATATATCTTTTTTAATTATAATTATATAATATTTATTTAATATTTATATCGATTTTACACGACTCGTACATTCGCACAGATCTCTTCAGATCTGTTCCTAGTTTATTTCAAAAGTACTTAAATCTAAATACGATACAATTGGTAAACCACGAGAGAAGGTTGTACACAAATTGTGAAGAAATGAGACAAGTGTCATAGGTTTGCAAATTCGTCATATCATCCATGTAAAGTGTTACATCGAGCATTAAATTTGACACTCATCATATTATTTCTGGCACCTCTGATTTTCGTTTTATTTCTAAAATATTTCTGTTATTATTTATCTTTAAAATAATTTTATTTGTCAAAAAAATTTATTATTTGACAAAGGGTGAAAAACCAAAATTTTGGTAGGTATTTCTAAATTTTCGATAAAAAATTTATGTTTTATCGAAAATTATTTATATTTTTAAAATTTTCAATAGCCTTTTAGCGGAAATTACAAAATTTCCGAAACAATTTACCGAAAATTTTAAAACTTTCAAGGTGATTTAGAAGAAAGTTAGAAAATCTACTGAAAATTGAATTTTTGGACTATCCGAAAAGAAATAAAAATTTCGCAGAAATCTAAAATTTTCGATATATCAGGGGATGAAATTTTGTATATGTGTAGACCAAAGCCGATAGTTTCTTCTATGAATTTATGTACAAATTATACAGCTTCATTTATGAAATTGATAAAGTTTAATAATTATATAATTTAATAATTATATGTTATAATTGATAGATTTTTAACTTTCGATCTGAAATTATAATATAGACAGAGTTTATTATTGTTGTTATTGTTTATACTAATTCTGCTAATAGAATACGAGGGATAGAATATGAGGGATGAAAGATAAAAGTAATTATGGATTGTAAGAGAAGAGAAAATTAAATTAAAAAATACATATATGTTATGTGTGATATGTGTGATAGTTATTTTATGTATATATAAAGTTGGAAAGCTAATTTACCTTTTCAATTTCCCAATATATTATAAAATTTTAACTCATACTGGATATTTTAAATTTCTGACACCAAAAGCTTGAAATATCCAATTTCCCATACCCGAGATACAGTAAAAATAGTAAATCTAATGAAATTTTCACTATTATGTTAAAATTTCTTATGTGTTCATGTAAATTTAAAAACTTCCGGTATATTACAAGACATTAACATAAAAATGCCAAAAAAAAAAAATGGGGGTTGCCGGTACAACTGTGGGTGGCAAGTAAAGGACTCTGTTACATCGGATACTAACATCATGGTGTTTCAAAACTTGGGAGTAGACATTTTTCGACCTTTTCCCTTGAATTGGATCAGCTTAAACTTTTTATAGTTACTATAAATTTTTTCTCTAAATAGATAGGTTGATCCACCACTAGTCACTATTTTTAAAAGCTGTAGCAAACGGATCTAAAAGCATTATAAAGTATATGATTAATAACTTCAATTCAACAGCAGTTCAACAGCATTAACAGAGGTGTACAAATTAAATTGGGTGAAATAGAGAATGACAAAGTGAAATTCGAAATTCCTTTCTTTTTCTTCTATATACCTTCATTTGCCAACTAAAATGTCCATGTTCAACCAAAAATAACTAAGAAAAAACAATTGCAAAATATCACTGGATCTCCATTGCTATGTTGTACAAATCATGCTCCTAGGTGAGGAGGTATGGCATAAATGACCAAAACAAGTCACAGATTAAAACTTCTACACAGCACTCTATTTTAAGTTGTTGAGATAAGAAGACGTACAAGGTCATAGAAACTGAAGAGAGTGAATGTACAAGGTCAGTATCGAAAGTTCAAAAAATCATCATCTCTTTCGCCACCAGTCAGAGATTTTTAATCTTCGGTTTCTATGGATGGAGAGAGTAACCCCTGGAAGCTTGTGTTTGACCTGTCTCCAGAGCATATTAACAGCATCCTCTCTTTTCGGAGGGTACTGGAATTCATAATGATGCGAGATATTTTTAAGCTGCCTCCACATTTCAGTCCACTTCTGCTTTGGAAATTTACGAAGCTGGTCGACCATGTAGCCGGGCTGTAATGCTTCTTTGAATGAGAAGAACAGAGAGAACTGGGAATAATCAATCTCGTCCTCAAATGGGAGTTCGATTTTATCACTCACAATGACAGGAACACAGTGACTCACAATTGCATCAAAAAGGCGGCAAGATGATGCTGTGTCTCCTGCTGGATGCAAACAGAACTTTGATGAACGCATCCCTTTAGATGACTGTTGTATCAGAAGCAGTAAATAAATGAATACTACAGTTCATGATCTTAGCAGATAACATAAGGGGGATAACAGGAAGAAAAATAGTTCAAATCAGTTGACTATAGGACTCCTCTCCCTCAGGAAAGATAGTAACCGATATTACAAAAAGGAAGTTTTGGGGTTTCTCAAAATGGAGCAGTTTTATTCAAGGCATTAGACCAACGTTTATAGTGAGAAATGAGAATGAAAAATCTAAAATTAGTATTTTTTTTCACCAGAAAGATTTTTTCTTTGCATATTTAATCTATCCTGCTCTTACCAGCTGAAAATAAGAAGGAAAACAGGGAGACAATTCTTTTTAACCCTAAAGAGAAAATGCATCTCAACGTTCAAAGACTCAACACACAGGAAAACATTGGCGAGACTACAGATCTAAATTATCCTAAACTTATTTTCCACTTTTAAAGGGATCCTCCCCTTTGTCTACTGACAATGAAGAGGAAGAGAAAGAATTGTAAAAGTCAATCTTTCAACTTTAGGAAACGATTAGCAATAATATTCCGAGTACAAGCAGAAAAGCGGCATGTACCAAAGATCAATTATATAGCTACGTTGCATACCGCTTTTATGTTTTCTTCAGTTGCAACACTTCGCTCATAATGAACATCACTATAACCAGTCAATATCTTTGCCAGTTTAGCACGGACAATGCCTTCCTGCACACACCATAAACCTTGCAAAATCACATTTCATGGAATTTTAAGAAGGAAAAGCTCCTCTAAAGTAACGTTGTCTCTAAAATGAGTAAGTATGTATCCACCTTGAAAATCTTGGTGAGTTGACATCACAACGCAATTCAAATTTTTTTTTATAAAAAAAGTTGGACACACTCTTACTTGCTAGTAACTTTTAAAGACAAACTTACTTAGAAGAGTCTTATCCTTTTAAGAAACATGTCATTCTTTTATTAACCGTCAGACCGAGAGACAGACATACATCCTTTCTGAAAGTCCTCCCTCGAAAGAAAAGCAGTGTGGAGCGAGCCTCATACGGATCTTGAGATTCATCATCTGTAAAAGAATCCACAACATGAACATACGGGGAGACCACATCTTTGTTCAAATTAGACATGCTCTTGGGATAACGGCCAAAATCCACAACAATTTGAATAGTTGCATTCACTTGATTTCGTAGAAACCTAAACGCATTGGGGTGTGTCATAGCAAATATGTGGTCTCTGCCTTTAGATCTCTGCCAATATTTGGACTTGTTCAATAATTCCATCAGATCAACCTAACATCAGAGACAAGGCCAATGCACTTGTTAAAAAATCACAATGCAGTTTCCATAGAAACAAACAACAAGAACAACAACAAGAAAGATCAGTTACCTGCAAATTCCGATCAATCTCGGTAGCAGGATCTGTCATAGTATGACCATGAGTGTTAAAACTCAAGGAAGAAAAAAACGGAACAAAAAAAGCGTCAGCGAGTTCAGGATCGAAAACCCTCAGAGCTTCCCCAGCATCAGCCCCTTCATGAATAAGCGACCCCATCATCCAGTACTCGACGCTGTGTTGCTTCTTGAGCCCCCAATTTCCGGGCCACCGCGGAAAGTCGTTAGCGGTGACGGGAGATTCGGTTGCGTTGCGGCGGTCGATCATTTGGACGTTGAAACGGGGAGGGAGATCGTACATGTAGACACGAAGTTTCGGGTCGGGTTCACATTGAGCGGGTTGGAGGGATGGGAGTTGGTTGAAATAAGATCGAATGTCGAGAGTGCCGATGAAGATTGAGTAGGAGATTAGGAGGAGGAAGACGAAAATGAAGGTGAGGATCACTTTTTCGTACATGGTTGTTTCTTTCTGGTTCTTTTCAAAATGGTTTCGGGAATGTTCTGAAGATGATGCTGCTGTTTCTGTTGTGTGTTGGTTTGTTTACTCTGTAATAAGGTGCGGTGTCCATTTTCATTATCGTTGCTGAATAACATCCATAGTTAAGGAGAATTAAGGAGGGCACGATGTGCATTTCTTTCGAAGTTGAATGAGCTTAATAATGCAGAGTTATTACTCTCAGATCCAAAATAATTAATACAAATTTTAAAAAAAAATGTTAATTAATTAATTAGTTTATTATACTTTTGTTTTAATAAATAAATTTTGTTTTAAAATGAATATTAATTTCACTTTTCAATAAAGTAATGATTACTATTTTTTTTAAGTGTGTCATTTATTTTTTACTTTCTATATTACTTTCAATATATTATAGGGTTAATTTTATAAAAGTTTAATGTTTTATGATAATATCATTGTATTTAATTTGTGTTTAAAAACCTTAAATAACAAACATTTTGAAACGGATAGAGTACTAGTCATAGATATGCATTTCACTGATTTAATATTTTGTACTGCATTGCATCAAATCAAATTTTTGTTAATTTTTCAGCTCAATTGTTGACCTAACATAATTCCAATCACTCTCGGCCATCTCTTCCATGACCACCACGGAAACCCTACTCTTTTTAGAAACACGATTTGCAAATTCTCCACATAACATCAACATTCCACAAACATATCTGAAACACACTAAAACTAAAAAAAATTGTCAAAGCGTTTTCAGTATCTCTCTTAGGTTATGTTTGAATATCATGAAATGAATGGAGCAGAATAGAACGGAGTAGAGCGGGATGGAGTGGAGCGGAACTGATCTCGACGGTTGATCAAAATCTGAAATGGATCGATAGATGACGTCTACCAGGCTAAAATCATTGAGGAGGGGATGTATCTGCAAGGAACTCTGACGCTCAAGTAAGAAATAGTGCAAAGAGATACAATAAAAAGATTAAGGTTTCTAGAATGAATATTCGATACATGGCTCTCACAAGTGTGGGGGTTTATATAGTGCCCCCAGCGCTTGGCTATTGGTTCCTATTTTTGGACCTATATATTAGGTTCCTCAAAAATAGGTAACTGTCAGGAATTGGTCAAGACCGACAGAGATGCTCGAAACTAGCCATTTTGACGAGCAGAGAGGTGCTCACTGGAAAAGATGATTCTAGCCATTCATGGGTGGCTGTCCTCGTGTGACCAGAAGGTCGAGGACCAGCCTATCTGAGCGGACATAAGCGACTGCGTAGACCTTAGAGGATAGTCGGCTAGGGATCCTCGAGTGAGGGGTGGAGGGGATAAAGTATCATTTATCCTTCATGGTTTATTGGACCAGTTATTAGGTCACCTTATATGCAGAAGTGGATTGGGCCCTGCCTAGGCATTAGGTCAGACTAGAATAGGAGCCCCCTAAGTCGTTGCTTATAGGCATAGGAGTGACGACCTAAAGGTAGCTCGTGCGTTGAGGAGGATAGTGCATTGTTGGTGCTTGTTGTTTACGATGGGGACATTTCGTGATTTTTACGAGGACATACTTGTATGTGATATATTGTTATTTATTAGATTTATCCATGTTTTGTATCCTCGTTATGAATGTCATTGTCTTGAGTTGCTCTGTAAATCATTTTTGATAAGTATTTGAGGTTTGCTCGACAGCATTGGAGTTCGACGGTGAGGGGAACTAGTCGAACGACCAGGGTTGTTTTTCGGGCAAAGGGAGGAACTCATGCCCTTTTTGTGACTTGAGTTATCCAGAGTGAACTATCCATTACGAGTAAGGTGTTCTCCCATCATGGTACGGTGGCGACGGCGAGGCTCGGTCGAGGGTCCCCTATTGGACAGAGGATCTGCTCGTTCAAGAGTAGAGGAATGTCTTGCTTTAATTTTGAAATGTAGTGCTTGTACCTAGGCACACATTTGAGGTTGATGCATTGTGCTCGTCGTTTGACAGAGCACGCCAACTATTTGTGGGCTTAATTGCAATATTGTTTCAGCATTTCGACATTTCATGGTCGAGCAAGTTCTTCTCCCTCAAGGTATTCGAGGTAGTATGCCCTTTGATTCATTTTTGCTCGGACGCGATAGGAGCCTTTCCAGTTTGCTGTGAGTTTACCCTCGCGAGAATCTTTTTTATTTCTCCTTAAGACAAGGTTGCCGACTTCAAAGTCTTATCGTATGGCTTTGGCATCGTGCCTTATTGCGATTTTTGTTTTAGTGAGGCCTCACGAAGAGACGCTCCTGTTGAGATCAGTGTAGTCAACACACCTTCGTCATTTTCCATTCGATTTCTTTACAAGTACAACATTAGATATCCAGGTTGTGTATTGGGCTTCATAAATGAAATTTGCCTCTATGAGGTCTACAGCTTGCTCGGCAACCTCTGTTTTCTCCAGAGACTGCTTGCGTCTATGTTTAGCAACTGCCTTATGGGCACAATCTATTGCCATCTGGTGACAAACTATTTCTGGATCCAAATTGAGCATCTCTGAGGGGTGTTCGGCTTTATCGGGGATGTAGAAATTCTTTGGCCGCGAAATACACATGGCAAATAACATGCTGGCATCATTGGGGGGATGACATATCCTCCTCGAACTTTTTTTATTCTGGGGTGTCTTCGCGGGGACCCTCTTCTCATTTATCCTCTCCCCAGCAAGATGTCGATGAGTCGTTGTGCTTTGAGACTTTGGCATTCTCCTGATACCGTGAGTTTAGTGTGTTATGGGCGACTTCTTTTTTTTCATACCGGATGTATGCCTAGGCCTTGAGGAGGAGGGCATCCAGTGTTGCAGGGGTTTCTATGTCAACTTCCTTGGCAAAGTCGTTGTGGGAGCGTAATCCTCGCTCAAGGAGGTATTTCTTCATCCCGTCAGTCGTGGAGACTTGGATGGCCTCCTTGTTGAATCTTTCTATATATGCTTGGAGGAATTCATCCTTCCCCTGGATGATGGCCTTCAATGATGCATCTGATTTAGGGTGACAGCGAGATGCTGTAAAATTCCTGGAGAATTGTTTCCCCAGGTTCCTCCAAGATGTGATCGACTCGTCGGGGAGGCTTTTGTACCAAGCCAAAGCCTTTTTGCGAAGAGTGGTTGGAAAGAGCCAGAATTTTATTTCCCCTCGGTATCATACCCCAAATTTTCCCACCCTCTTATAAGGCTCATCTGGCTTATGCATATCCATCAATAGGTCATCTAGCATTGCATGCATCATTAGTGGTCATTGGATCAAGGTATTTCTTTTCGAAAGCCACAAAAAAGGAATTGTTCTATCGGATAGTGTAACAAGGTAAAACTCTAGTTTTTCAATGTTTAAATATATTATGCATGTCTCACAAGCTATCAGATTAATAATCAATCAAGCCATCATCATGTCAAGCTCTCATGTATTTCAGCACGCTCTGAGTTGCGGATGAACCGTGCATTTCAGTGAATTTGAGACAGTGTGAACCAGAAACAATGTTTTTGCTAGTTTGAGCTTAGAAATTAGCAACTTGCAATCAGGATATTGTTTTGAGTTAATTCCTCAGGCATTATAACCATCTCGATATTTTCTTCATTTCATCTGTTCAAGCCGGAAGTCAATTATCTGCAAAAAGTCTCTGAATAATTTGATTTCCCTGAAGCGGTACTAGAAATTAATGGCTGGTTATTTATTTCTCGGGTGTTTGGAAATTTGTAACTTTCATCCAATTCAGTATTTCCAGTTGATTCTCCGAGCATTGAGACCGTCTTGATTTTCTTACTATTTCTCGTGTTCGGATCGAAGGCTAATTTTGTGAAGAAGATCTCCGTGAATTTTAATTCTTTGAAGACAGTGTACTGAATTTAATTGTTGGTCCGTCGCTACGCTAACACTTAAAAATTCATAACTTCTGATTGGGATATTGTTTCGAAGCGGTTCTTCAACTATAAAGTCCTCCTTGATATCTCCTTCAATTGGTATGTTTGACTCGAGAGCAAATTATTTAAGGAATATCTCTGAACATACAGATACATTGAAAAGAAACATTGGAAAAATGGTAAAAATATTGTGCTGAAACGTTATTTTTCGGACCTTCAAAAATTCATAACTTTCGCCCAGTGTATTTTTTTAGCGGTTCTTTGGGGAAAAAAATCGTCTTGATGCCATCTTCATTTCATATGTTCGGGCTAAGAAATGATTCTTTGCAGAAGGTCCCCGGAATTATGGATTACCAGAGAAATTTATTGTGCTGAATCGGAATTTTAAATCACCATTTCTGATATTGTAATAATCGTAACTTCTTTGATTTTTATCATATTGAGATGATTCTTTCGGTATAATTTCACAAATGATGTCAGCTACAAATTTGTTTCATACTTCGATTTCAAACACTACTCCCAAGGCTTCTGTTTCACTAATGGAACAGTGAAATTCGTTGTTTAACCGGAAAAGACAACGTCTGAGCAACTTCGAAAATTCATAACTTTCTCGTTGTTTATCCAATTGAGTCTGCTCTTTCGGTATCGCGTCACAAATTTTGCAATCTTCATTTTTAATGTTGAGCTCGAGTCGAGATTTTACACCGATGATGACGTGGCATTTTGTACTCACATTGTGCATTAAATTTGCTCACATTGTCAAAATGAGGTTCATTCCAATTTCACATCCATGGCCCAATTTGCCTACACTATATATTCTAAAAATCAAATTTTTCTCTCATAACTCACTCACTCCCAAAAGCTCCTCACAATTCTCTCTCTATTCTCTCAAAGATCAAACACATTCTCCTCTTAATTTTGCTCAAGAACATCAACAATATTCATCAATCTTCAACAATTCATCAAGAGAAAAAGAGTCAAAATTCATCATTCTTATTCCTCCCCAACCGGAATTCCTCAAGCAAGACACTCCCTCTGCCTACCGCTCCGGTCCGCACTGCAAGTCCTCCCTCCATCCACCACGCGAACGCGATACCTCCTCCGTCTCTACTGCGTTTTTCTGGCGTT